AGGCCTACCCAGTCCTTCTTGCTGTGATTCAAGGGCGCCGTCCATCGCACTTTGATTGGTGCACCATATTCAAAGCTCAAAGTCTTGAACGACGAGCGCTGTTCGGGTCTTGCCTGATTTTGTTTCCCGCTTGTGTACGTCGCACAGGATGTTGAGGGCGTGCCTTCGACCTCCAATGAGTATTCATTTGGGTCATAACCAGCGAGATCTGGCGCTACTCTGGTGATGCTGATGCGTGTGGGATGTTTGAGTAAAGCTGTTGAGTCCTTCACGAAAAGGCTCACGCCTGCTGCAATCTTGGGACGAGCAGCATCGATAAAGTCTTCGAATGAATCGATTGTTCCTTCCAGGAGTTTGTCGACACTGCCTCGCCACTGAAACAGATGTGGGGGGAGCGATCGCTTCAGGCTCTTGACCAGACCAGATTCCCGCCGCAGGCTCTGACCGTACAGCTTTTGCATGTGTGGCCGCTCGACAAGCTGGATGAATGCAAGGGTTAAGACATGGCTGAGCAACGCGAGAAAGAAGATTGCGCTGCTCCTGGTAATTAGCGCTGCACCCCAGACACCGGCTAGTCCTATCACTCGTTCTGGATTGTTGAGGAAGCGGTATATGCCACTGTATGTCAACTTCGGAGAATGATCGAAAAAGAAATCTCCGAAGAACCAGCCGAACTCGCCCAGTGAATCGTAGATACTGACTGCCGTCCAAATTTGTAACGCCACCAAGCTAATACCCACCACATGCTTCAGAAGGACCAGCCCATGCTCCCAATCTTGCGGGAGTGAGTACATCTTCCACGATGCCGCTACGAAGCTTGCATAGGACAATGTCATGGAGAGATGATATATTCCCTTCCATTGGCGCCAGGCTTCTTCGGTACTCTCACCATATTTGAGGAAATGACGTGTCCATCGTTTCTTGGATGACTGTCGGTTGAGTAGATATCCCACACCCATCGAATACCACAGACGCCACAGTGCTGCATTGATGACAAATAATCCTTGGTAGAACGGAGTTGACGGTGTCAAGACCACCAAGACGAAGATGTATATCTGTAGGAGAATGACTGAGGTATCGGTCACTCGGTGTAGGTCAATGTTCTTGAGCCCGATGAGATTGTGCACCGGTGAGGGCTGGTTCGTAGAGGCTAGCCGTGGCGCATTATAGCCGCGATCAACGTCCGTAGATTGACTATCGTCATGCTCAACCTCCGACTGAGATTCAGATTGGAGTCTCCTGGAAGGGGGAGAATTGTACGTCTTCTCAATATGAGGGTTTTCTATCCATACTAGGAATGCGAACTGAGCAGCATGGGCAACGATGGATATGAAGAGGACCTTGTAGCTGGCCGCGATGAGTGAAATACCGTAGTAACCAGCGTATCCGACTGAGTACATGGGATGAGGAGCCATCTCGAAGACACCATCAAATGTCAATTCCTGATCAATCAGATAGAAAAAGTCTCCCCAGTACCAGGCATAGTCTTTGACGACTCGATGAGCATCAAGCTTAACCCAAAGATTGAAGCCAAATAACCCCCAGCCGGTAGCCCAGCGTAGGAAAGTAAGTGCCATACCTTCGTCAGCAGGTCGGCCACCACATGCAATGGCAAATAGGACATAAGATACGAAGTCGCACATTAGAATGAGGTCGACCACACGCCGAAAGACAAGCCAGGTATTATATTCGATGGGCGCATCCTCGAACTTGTAATCCTGGGGTATCTTGGTTTCCATCTCCCGCTTCAGAATACGGTACAGCATTGGATGTGGATTCCCCCCAGTCTTGGGATCGACAAATATCTTCGATCTCTTTGCCCAGGCCACCAGCCTCAAGTGGCGCGATTGAATATGTAGCAGATAGCCTATGCCGACATTGTAGCATGCTCGCCAAAAGAGGAAGACGACCGCAAAAACTGGTATTCGAAGAGAGTCCGGTAGGACAAAAAGAGTTGCAATGTGTACGCCTAAGACAGCAAGGACTATGAGGTCTGAGACGTTTTTCGGTTGGCTGGGCGAGAGGAGCTGGGATACCATATCATGAGTCTGAGGGACCGTGAATACTATTGCAATTTGATGTCAGCCATTGTGAAGCTTGTTCTCAAAGGAACACAAGTTCTGGACTCAGGCCAAGGGCCCCATGCTCTGGCTCGTCTTTCCTGTAACAAAGCGATGGACAAGCTTGACATGCCTGCGATTAAATGACTATATGATTGACTCACCCGTTCCATCTGGAGTTCTGCCACACGTTTTCTCACTCTTTCCTTCTTCCCAGTTTGGCTGTATGCTATCGTTGTGATCCTCCTTGGGCTCCTTTGGCCTTCGTTCTCGCAGGCCATTTCGGTCCATTTTCCTACCAACTCGACCCCACGCGCTCCTGAATACCCTTGAATATTATAGACAAGCGAGGTTGAGGTAGACCGTTGTGATTTTCTGGAAAGGTAGTATTTCGAATAATCTTCAGACGGGGCTTTCCATGCCCAAAGCTTGAAAGAAAGAAAAGAAAAGAAAAGGACTTGGTCAGGGGGACTAAGGATGATCACGAGAGCAATGCCCACATATGTTGAGATGTAAGCGAAGAGGGTGATGATTGGCATGCAATTGGCGTGTTGAAGCCATCTGCACGTTGAATAATTCGAAAATGCTGCAGGTTTTCGGCGGAAATGGCGGGGGGATTGTTAGAGGCATGACGTTCGCTTTCTTTCATTGGGCTACACGAACACGCAACAATATTGTGAGAGCCTACTCGTAGAGGATGTGGGGGCTCGAGCACAATCTCATAGAGGAGTAAGAGTAAAAAAGTTGGCACTGCTATGAGAGAGAGTAGTCACGAGAAGAGTCGACGTACTCGATTGCACATCGTTTCTTATCACATATCTTTTGCCATACCGTAAGAAGAGTGCCAGTTACTGTAATCCCGACAGCAGAATGAATTCTGATAAGGGAGTCCGCCGCCCGGCACCGTACTGATTGCATTTTCCGTCTCTGCAGCCTTACAAATCACTACTGGCCCTCCATCATAAATTTTTGAGACTTTTTTTTTTGTTGCTATGCATCTTGACACAATACTCCGCCGTCGAACCCTCGTTCATACACTCGGTGAATCATGTCTTCCACCAGGACAACCACATTGGAAGAGCCTATCCAGGTCGATCTCTCCGCCCCGCTGAAGAACCACCCCTCCCTCGTTGCCCCTGAACCAGAACATTGCCCAGGCCCAGAGTCCAAACTCGCAGGCAAAGGTGATGCCTGCGCCGGCTGTCCTAACCAAAGCATCTGCGCTTCTACTCCAAAAGGTCCTGACCCTGACATCCCTCTCATCACCTCCCGTCTCTCCGGCATCAAACACAAAATCTTGGTCCTCAGTGGCAAAGGCGGTGTGGGAAAATCCACATTCACGACAATGCTAGCACACGCTTTCGCTGCAGATGAAAGCAATATGGTCGGTATAATGGATACGGATATCTGTGGACCCAGTATACCGAAAATGATGGGGGTAGAAGCTGAGACGATTCATGTCAGTAATGCTGGGTGGAGTCCTGTGTGGGTCGCGGACAACTTGGGAGTGATGAGCATACAGTTCATGCTGCCATCCAGAGATGATGCCGTGATATGGCGAGGCCCAAAGAAGAATGGACTGATTAAGCAATTCTTGAAAGATGTCGAATGGGGCGAAATGGACTACCTGCTCGTGGACACTCCACCCGGAACGAGTGACGAGCATCTAAGTGTCAATTCTTATTTGAAAGAATCCGGAGTCGATGGCGCAGTTGTGGTGACAACGCCGCAAGAGGTTAGTCTGTTGGATGTACGAAAAGAGATCGACTTCTGTAGGAAGGCTGGTATTAAAGTACTAGGTATCGTTGAGAACATGTCGGGCTTCGTGTGTCCGAGCTGCAAACATCAGAATCAGATCTTCAAGGCTACGACTGGTGGGGCACGGAAGCTGGCTAAAGAGACAGGCATTCCCTTCCTTGGGGCAGTCCCTTTAGATCCAAGGATTGGTATGGCATGTGATTATGGGGAGAGCTTTTTTGACAACTTCCCCGTCAGTCCAGCTTGTGCGGCTCTACAAGGGGTGGTGAAAAGGGTCCAAGAGGAGGCCGGCATTAGTACAGTGCCATGAAAACAGAATTGGGATTTGACAGTTGCATACGACGGCCTCGGATTGTTTGGCATTTAAACGGAGCGGGCATTTGCATGTACGGCGTTCCCATCAGCTCAATAAGGATCTTAATTTGCTATATCAATAACTTGATAGTTCAGAAACCGCTTTTTACCAGAAGGAAGTCCACGTCTACCAGATCCTGTTACCTCCCTTACCTCTAAAAGGCATTGCTTTTACGAAGTAACATCTGGGTCCATTGCAAGAGGAAGAAGACTTGCAACAGCTCCTGTTTGATTGCTTATGAGGAGACTCCAGTTGCCGCTGTTGCTGTTTACGAGCGAGCCATGGTGGCCAATGCAACCATCAGTGCTGTTATCAGGTTTGGTAGATGCATCACATAGAGGTGCTGGTGGGAAGGATGGTGGGAGGGGACGGGCTTTGGATATCTCGATTTCGAATGTCGGTGGCAGGGGCGGCCCCACTCCGAGTTTCGTGATGTTTTGGTATTCAATAGCTGCATTCCGGGTTTTAGAATTATTAGTATATTTAGAGGCGATGCACTGACATTGTCTCCCGAGCAAGGTCGTAGGATCATTCGCGTCAAATGGTCGCGCTGAAGCTACCCCACCAAGGCCAATCGCTTGAGGGCCATCCAGACAGGTACCCAACAGTACATCGATCGTAGCTCGAAGAACGTCCAATGTGCATGCTGGATTGTAATTCCGGCGTCAGTATTGCTATTCGAGGGGTTGCATTGAGCCTTGGAACATGTCTACAGAGTAGAACCTCCCAAGACATGTCTCAAGACTCAAGGCTTGGTCCAAAGGGGGAAAGATGGACTCCGAAAACACCTACCATGGCGCTGCTTACTGCTGACTTCAATCTTACAGTTACCTGTTCAGATTAGATTTCGGCAGGAGCAGCAGTATGTCGTTGGTTTTCATACCAACTTGCTTGATGAGCGGTTCCTTAGGGCCTACTATTACATTTCCTTCTCCCATGAATGTGAAAGAGGCATCTTCACAGTCGCGGGGCCTCGGCGACCCTTCACTTCCATAACAGTTGTAATCTACCTGTTTGGAGATCAACTCTGCCCGTTCCCGCAATTTGAGAAGCGTGAAATTTCTAGATAGTACTCACGTTCTCAGGTATAGAGTTAGTGATGTTCCTACTATCCCACCAGGCTTGAGTTCCTCCGATCCTCATGCGCTTGTAAATTTCTTTGAGTGCGTTGACTATCACGAATATTTTGGCACGGTTCACCTTGAACACAATCGGTGGTATTGATTCAAGCAAGCCATTTTGTACCGCTTCGTTGACTCGAGGGTCTGTGTCGCCAGGTCTCCCTCTGCCTTGCCTCGGGGAAACCTGCACGGTCAAGAAAAGAGGGGTATTGTAGCCAGCAGGTACTTTCTTATACTTCGAAACCCCCTCGATGGTGTTTTCGAGTTTATATGTGATAAATCCACCCCGTCCAAAATTGTCGATGATGCAGCTCGCGTTCACTTGACCCACCAATTCCCTCAAGGTACTGTGGTTCTTTCAGTATCGAAGGACCAGGACATGCTTCGGAAAATAGTTTACCTCTTCCTAATATAGACATTATTGTCGGTGCTGGATCGACCTGCCAGGTCTACCGTAATCACGCATGAAGCCTCGAATGGGTGTGCTTCAGGATCGTGTCGTTAGTCTCTCGGGAACGACTTTTCGCTCAACGACGGTCACTGCCTGACGGAATCGAAGTCTGGACGGTCCAAAGACTTACTATTATTATCGTAGTAGTAGACCGGAGTTATGAGGGCCTCCTGGCCATGATATCTCTTACGCGACACGAATTGCGAAAATCGACGGCCATCTGGCATGGTCTGTAAAGCCTTATAGCAAGCGTGTTTGTCAAGATTCTCTCCATACTCTGGCGCACATTCTACAACATCAGGCAGCTTGGGATATGGACCGGCTGTGACCGATGCAATAGCTGTGATCTCTAATGTAGAGCCTGACATGCACGACAAACCAACGAAAAAGCCAGCAAGGCGCAAAGTGTATAACAGGAAACGCATTTTAGACTGTGATAGTAGCAAATCCTGAGGATTGATTGCCCCGGGATAGAGATCGTCTTTGTTTGCGGAGAGAAAAGAGAATCGCGCCAGATGCAATACGCCGTTGCTTCACGCTCCGAATCATAATTTGCGCCTAATGAGGGCGCTTTCTTTCTCTTCTCCAAGATTGGACATGGTAGAGACCAGAGCGCTTCAGTGTCGACCAGACCCGCTCATACGTCTGGCGGCTGCGGAAAGCCAGGCGCATAATCCGTACCAAGAACACTCTGCCATTATGTTGTAAGCGACTCTGTTCTTTGAGAGAAAGCACGCTTATTCCAAGGCTAGAAACATCTTCCAAGAATCTTACCCATGGATACACTGGGCCTGGAAAAACGCATCCAGTTTTCGCGGTCTCGCGACATCCTTCTTTCCTACTTCAGCGGCAGCCCGAAGAGTCCTCCAAACAGTCCGCCTCCCTTCCCTCCACTTTCTCCTCTTATGGCCTCATCCTCAATCCACAGACGCAGAAAGTCTTTGTCTTTCATTTCCTCGACATTGGTGAGCCTCGTTTGTAGCTGCGCTTCCTGTCTACTGAAGGCCAACAGGGTTGGAATACTCGTAATCTATATATACCCATTAACGCCTTTGTCCTCTGTCAAGTACCTTTGTTGAGGTCTCCAAGCGATTACGCACCGTGTATCTATTTCTCGATCAGTACATACAAAGACTGCGGCCTTGATCTGGAGAAAAGGGTTCAAGTCAGTACCGGCCTGCAACGTCTCCCAGAGTAGGGGAATCGAATTCAATCTCTGCATAGCCCACGCCTCCTCTTTCCTCGCCCGCTCCTTCTTCCTCTATCAGTTGCCGTATGAGAGGCGCCACCATACGGCATGAGGGGCACCAGGAAGCAGTCCAAAGAGTGATCAATGCAGTGCGATTTGATGCAGAGAGAAGAATCAAAGTGTCAAAGTCCGAGGGTGAGCGAATCCTATGATGTCGATATCAGCTTTGAGTAGTTGTCCGGAAGTCCATGAGGGGAGATAGCGACACATTGACGGGCGACATACTTACGGATCGTATATGCGATTCTTAGTCAGGTTTGGAGGTGTCGTACTTAATGGTCGAGCTCTGGTGGTGCTTTTTATCTGGGACCTCGATGTGAGGTATTGCCTGGCCAGGCTGCGGTATGTTGAGGACAGTGACTTCATACTAAGTGAATTACTCTGTGCGGTAGTCTCAGAATTCAGACTCTACATATTAGGGGGGGCCGGAACATTATATTGCCGAGCCGATTCCGTCATGCGGAGTAGAGTGAGAGCTGGTCGAAGCCGTCATTCAGCCCTATCTACCAATTGTGACTCAAATCAGGGCTAGCCTCAATTGCTAATATACCTTATTGGAAAGCTTGCTTTCTCATTACTTAAGACTGAAATCACAAAATGTTCGACAACTATAAATTTAAGGTTAGTTAATCAGATCCTCAGATATCGTAATTTTGACGCTAAAACTTATCTTATTTCTTTATTTTCAATCTAAACGCGGGTACGTCTAAAAGAGGAAGCACTATAAGGCTGAATCTCGAACATCAACTTTATCAATTTATTCTATTTAATTCTTTTAACGTTACGTAAGAAATGATAATAAAATAAATTTATAGAGTTATAGAGTTAATTATACGCTTTCAAATAAAGTAGCGAAGACGAAATTTGATAAAGTATTCGTAAAGATATACTAAAAACTAAGATTTTTATTCAGATTATCGAGCTTGCGAGAAGAGCCCCTCCGGTAAAAGCCCTCGGAGAGCTCTCGGAGGGTTAAGGGGGTTTCAGAGGGTCTCCCTCTGAGTATATCTATCTCTCTCGATTCTTAAAGTTAGATCTTTTAAAAACCCTTAAACCCTTCGGAGCTGTCATGAGATGCCTCAGGGACACTCATAGGGCCACTAGCGTAGGCTTGGCACCGCACACATATGTGCCTGCAGACCACATAGATTAATCAACATCCTTTACACCACACACATATATGATTCAAACCATAATGATTCCTTAACAATTGGTAGCAACACCTTAAGATCTAATTCCACTTGATCCTACGATGTAGTAGACGTCTCTACGAGTTACGTCTACACCACACGTTTACGCAAAGCCCACATCAACACCTAATAGTGTGACGCTCCAAGCCGGCCCTCCAATACACTCGCGTCATCGAGTACCTTTTGACAAAAACCCGTCTAAATCGATCCTTTTGATAGGCCTGTCGATATCACAATGCAAGAATTCCTGCAGATCCTACATGAGCAGTACCGCACCGAGTACTACGGTCCCTGGCATACAAGAGAATGCTACCCATGGGAGTACGACGTCAAGGCTCAAGAGTGTATCCAATTGGCTAGCAAATCAGACCCTCAATTCTTCCTACCGCAAGCCAAAATCCTTCAAGACCGAGCGGCCTACATACGTCAAGAATGGGCTAGACTTGAGGCCTTACAAGCCATTCAGCCAGTCACTCAGCCAGTCACTCAGCCAGCCACTCAGCCAGCCACTCAGCCAGTCACTCAGCCAGTCACTCAGCCAGCCACTCAGCAAGTCACTCAGCCAATCACTCAGCAAGAGGAGGAACCACTACAGGCAATTGCGGAGAACACTGCGGAGAACACTGCGGAGAACACTGCGGAGAAACCAAGCGACAACAAGGCCACCACCATCAAGAACACGGCTCAGCTCTCCAAGATCCCACGCGCAGGCCTACTCTCCACGATCCCACGTCAGATCGCCACTCAGCAAGCGGAGAATGACACTACAATTTGGCCTGCTATCTCTGCGTGCCTCGGCGATATCGTATGGATGTGGTATATCATTGAGTTGACGATACAAGAGAAGGATCTACTGCGACGGTCACAACCAAGTCACTATGGCCCACTATCATTGAGGAGGAAGATCGGACGATGCATATTTGGACGAATTGAAACCGTCCGATGTCTTGCTCCGTCAGTCATTTCATTATTCAAAAGTTTTCATTCCAGCAGGAGATTTCGTGGGATGCACACCACTAATTAGCCCGGTGTCTCCATTCCTTTCCGGTGTTCGAAAAACACACATGCATGCGTACTTCTTGCCATGAGGACATGGCATTTCTCTGTTTTTTGTGGGCAATTGTCATGAGATGCCTCAGGGACACTCATAGGGCCACTAGCGTAGGCTTGGCACCGCACACATATGTGCCTGCAGACCACATAGATTAATCAACATCTTTTACACCACACACATATATGATTCAAACCATAATGATTCCTTAACAGGAGCTCTTTAAGGGCTCTCCGAGAGTTTATATCGGAGGGGCTATTAAAGCAAGCTCGAAATTAATCAAATATTACTAAAATAATCAAATTTCGAGCTTGCTTTGACAGCCCCTCCGATATAAACTCTCGAAGAGCCCTTAAAGAGCCCCCGAAGGGTCCGAAGGGTTTTAGGGGGTCTCCCTGAGAATTAAATATAGTCAAAAACCAGTTGTCAAGGAAATGGATGACTGGGTCATGAATTCATGTGTGGTGTAAAAGATGTTCATTATTCTATGTGCCTGCAGGGCAGATATGTGCGGTGCCAAGCCACGCTAGGCCCAATTGGGTGGTGGCTCTGGAGGAGGCCTTGGCGTACCGTGACACCAGTACTCGGCAAGCTTTTCACCACTGGGAAGCCCGCGCCCCAGCACATATTTTCTGGTGTTCTCCCGCCAAGAATCTAGGTATTTTAGACAATGCTCAGAGGCATGGAGACTTCAAAGATCCAAATGAAACGAGACTTGTGACATTTTGAATACAAGGACTACTCTACAACAAGAAGCTGATCCTTTTGGTGACCATTTCAAAGCTTGGAACCCCAAGCACCCTACGCACGACTTCTTTCGTCTTTTCCCATTACGGCACCAGGCGCCTCTGATACTAATTCCTTCCTGTTACCGAGTTTTTAATACAACGTTAGCTTTTGCATCACCAGCGTAGATTCCATCCACGCGTCTCTCCCTCTTGGTCCATGCATCCTCGATCTTGTCTTTCCTACACGGAGAAAAAGTTCCGTGTGTTTCGATCATCTGGAATGCACGAAAACTCTGGCAAATCCTTGTACCGGCTAAGGATCTGAACATGTGACGATTTCTTCCAGCCAGCAGCGACTGATAGATGGAGGACACTTATGGCTGTCGAGGATATTGCGTGACAGGGAGATTTGAGAGCTTGGGGATGCCTGAACTTGGACAGAGCAAGAAGGCAGCAGACCGCCGGACAAGCATCTGGGGTTTACTCAGCGTAGATGTGGAAGACTGCGGCCACACCATTGGCTTCGAGAAGCTCCATAGGTTCTGAGGCTTTGGTCCCAATAACACTCCGTTTTCGAAAGCTGTCTATGAGAAAGGGTTGCAACCGTGGAGTGGTTGAGGATCGACTCTTGATTATTTAAGAGACTTGCTCGGCAGCGACGTAACGTGCTACCGATATAATTTGCATTATTTCTTTCGCAAAACAGGAATGTAGCGTTCAGCTAGCAGCGTTCTTCGGATGGCCAAACTGGCTTGTTTGGACCTTGACTTCCGTAGACTCTTTGATGGCCTCTATTAGCACCAAGCGAGCAGCCACAGCTGCCTCCACGGCTTGGTCTACAAGAGGCTCAAATTCCATAGTATTGGCCCTGTTGTCATCTGTTGATGCCATGATGCTTCTTTTGGTCCATAACTCTGTTATTTCATCCCGAGTCTGTAGATAGCCTATCACGCAAGCTGCAAAGATTTCCTCATGGTCCGAAGGGCAAGGATCCAGGAACACTTGTGGAGGAGCAGTAGGTTGGCGAACAACGGCAGCCACACCGCCAGTGACAAGGTCAATACAATCGATTCCTGCATCAATGATGGCAGCAGAGGCCACAGTGATGCAGCCAGACAGAATAGACATCATCCCCCAGCCGCCTGTTCGCCCACTTTCACCCGATTGACCTTTGTTCCACGAATTATCTTCTTCGCCTTCCAAGACTGTGATAACGACGTCAATCCCGCTCTTTGGCCATCTCTCGCCGATTAGGACTCCTCGAAGCGCAGTCTCAAGGTGAGCGGCAAGATCTCGTTCGCCAACGTTAGGAATGTAACCTCTCCGTTGTCGGGCCGCGAAAGGTGCAAACTTGATACGTGTGGAGAGTAGGAGTTGGGGCGAAAAGGGTGCAGATCGGGGAAGAGGTCGAGGGCCGTGCACAGTGCATGTGAGTTTGAGGGCAGGTGCTTTACTTGCGAGGCATTCGCTCGCTGCAGTCGGTGTGGATGGTTCGAGTTCGAAATATGCGGAACCGGACGCTGATGGTGTCAAGCCGGTCTTAAGAACTGAATTCCACGCAAGCGTCAGTACAAGATATTGACCAAATCACAGCTCGTTGTGAATAGGAATCGTCGTGCAGAACCCACAGATTTTCCTGAGCTCATCGGGTGCCCTTGTACGCTTCGCAGGAGAAGTAGTCTTGCTAGTCAGAGAGGAAACAAAGACTGGGGGCGCGGTACCACCTAGGGGACCATTGATGCGACGTCTGTCCGTCATGCTACCAGCACTCTTGGCTTCACGTCAAAACCTGGGTATCCAAATATCCGCGACTCGTGCCTGGATTTATACGCTAGCCGCGGGCTTATCCCCGCATATTTATCTCCATGCAAAAGGCAGAAAGCTGAAACTTGTTGGAAGGTTTTAGTAGTGCTTACGACCCCGTCTTCGTTATGTATTTCGAACATTTCTATACTTCTATTGTCAGGGCTTTTTTCATCACCCCAACTCTGACGGAAAGCTCTGCGTTGCATTGCCGTCTTGATCTCTTTCTGCACTGTATCTCGGTCGTGTGACTATGAACAGCAGCAAATCCTGCATCTCTACGAGTCCAAGAGTGGCTTGCAATGTCATATGCCATGCTGCACCATGACAACCGATCCCGACATGCCGTCGGTAAATTTGAAGGAACCTACTCACCTCCAATGGGTTCCAATTCGGGTTTGGAGGTCGGTCCAGCCATAAATACGAATAAGCAAGGAGATCTAGAAGGAAATTTCGAACTGAAAGACTTGACTGGCAGTCATAACGGTTCCAGATGTTCGAGTTCGACGTTTGATCCTGAGTTTGAAGAAGCTCACAGCGATGAGGAAGAGAAAAGCCCAAGCTTTCTGAGGTCTCGTAGAGCCAGCGCCTCGACACTGCAGAGCTCCATGCTTTACACCCCAGATGAAGAGAAATCCGTCATCAGGAAGTTCGACCGTCGATTGGTCTTGTTTGTGGCTTTTTTGTACATGCTCTCCTTCCTCGACCGATCCAGTACGTTCTTACGACCCATTGACTGTTCTGTGCTCACCAGCGGTCAGATATTGGAAATGCGAGGATTGCCGGTTTGTCAGAGGATTTACATCTAAGCTCATTGCAATATGAATGGCTACTACGTGCTTTCTATATTACTTACATTCTTTTCGAATGGATGACTCTGTTGTGGAAAGTGTTTCCCCCCCATATCTACCGTGCGTATGTTCATTCCCTATGCTACCGTTTAATTACGCTTCTTAGTTGGAGTTGACAATTCGCACAGTCTCTGTATGTGTAGCATCATGGGGTCTCATTGCCTCAATGCAATCTGTGGCTTTCTCGTTCATATCCTTATTCATTCTACGGGCAGCCCTTGGGATAGGAGAGGCAGCATTTGTTGGTATTCCATTCTTCATGTCGTTCTTCTACCAATCAGATGAATTGGCCTTCAGGACTGGCCTGTTCATCTCCGCGGCACCACTGGCCACATCATTCGCCAGCAGCTTGGCCTGGGTGATCACCAAAATAGGGAACCATGTTCCTATCGCCGACTGGCGCTTATTATTTCTAGTGGAAGGCTTTCCTAGTGTTTTCGTCGCAGTTTTCGTGTTCCTGTACATACCGGACAACCCTGAGACAGCTAGATACTTGACTCGAAGGGAGCAGAAGGTGGCTAAATTACGACTTCGTAAGGAGACCGCAGGGAGAGAAGCTGGGAAAGGGGGTCTGAAGTGGAGCGAAATCCGGGAGACCCTCATTGATCCCAAGAGTTTTCTTACAGCTGTATGGTCTCAAAATTTAAACATCTGGCGTGTGCTGATTGATGACGGCAGGCAATGTTTTTCTGCTCCAACGTAGCTTTCAGTTCCTTGCCGGTCTTTCTGCCAACCATCATCAAGGAGTATGTCAAACCCTTCCTCTCCTAACGCTACGTTCTAATAGATTAGGATGGGCTACTCGGCTCTCACCTCACAAGCTCTTTCCGCGCCACCCTACCTCGCTGCTTTCTTCACCGTCCTATCGACAGCATACTACTCTGACCGCTACCGCACACGCAGCGCCTTCGTCATCTTCCACGCTCTTCTCGCTTCCTTCGGCTACGCAATGATGGCAATCGCGGGTTCCGTAGAGGCCAGCGCCAAATGGCGCTATATAGGCGTCTACCCCGCAGCTATGGGTTTCTTCTCGGTTGTTACGATCGTTATCACCTGGACCATAAATAACCAAGATTCGGATTCCAAGAAAGCCACCGGTGTCGCCATGCTAAATTACATCGGGCAACTAGGACCTTTGGTTGGAGTGCATTTGTATCCAGATAGCGATCAGCCGTATTATGTGAAGGGCATGGCCATCTGTGCGTGCTTCATGGCGACTGTTGCGGTTCTAGCATTAGCGCTCAGGAGGATACTAGACATTAAGAATCGGAGGATGGCCGCTAAAGACTCAAAGGCCGATGGAGAAGACGAGGGTCTTGTTGTACAAAATCGGACAGATCGAGGGAGACGACAATTCATGTTCATGTTGTGAGCACAAGGCTCGCAGCTAGCAGTTAAAGAGGCGCCTGCACGAAGCCTAACATCATCAACAACAGGAGTTCCTTTACTCATCAATGCGAAGTAAACGACACAAAGCTGAAGAGATCACAGCGAAAACTCATACTCGATTTTTGCAAGAATCGTATTTTTCAGGTTAAAATCATGCACAAAGCCATGCCTGTCTTGTCCTCTAGCCCCGTCTTGTCGCTAGCAACGCGAAGTGCTTCCAGGAAACCTGGTAGAATGCTCCGGATTTCGTACCCAATGCTTGCAGAGTAAATGTTGCCCCGGTGGTTTCTGGCACAGATTTCCAGGCGGACTTCCCTGACAAAGGCTGCAATCGCTGGCTCGTTGCCTCCGGATACGCCTTCGGAAATAGCTTGCTTCCTTTTCAGGTCCAGCTGGGACCACGTTCTTGCCGTGCTGATGTGCAAAGTATTGTGGAATGATGTGGGAGCCTTTGGAGCTTGCGTGGGGTCCGGAAGGCCAGTCTGGGAATTGAAAGTGCTACCGATTCCGTATACCTCGCTGAAGTGGTTCGCACGACGCGCACGGATCGCAAGGGCATTAATGGGCTCTGATTGAAGGTCTGCCTCAGTGTAAAACTTGGCAGGGCAGCCCAGCTACCCACAGTGTAGGACGCTAGGACCGAAAGGACTGACGAAGGGAGGCATCACTGTTCCGTCACCAAGGTGGGCCTCGTACCCAGCCTGCGGGTTGGCAAAAACTTGAAGTCAGTCTATCGAAGATAGGTCCTTCTGCAATGAATTCTTCTGGGTTCAGCACTGCTGGTGCCAGCGACTCTCTTAACTTCACGTTTACAAAGAAAGTTTTTGGTGTGGTATGACACTTCTGTGTAAACAGTGCCCAGAACGTGATGGCTTGTAGACGAGGTGCGACGTCTCGACGACTGGCATGGTAGAACCCTGCTAGGAAACGCTTCACCTCCTGCCAGTGACCCAATGCGTCTTCCAGTTTCGGCCAGAACCTGTCTGCCGAAACAATGGATGTTGGACCACCCAAATCTCGTGGGACCTGCACATTCCGGAGTCAGTAAAGCACGAATTTTTTTGACGCAGAAAATTTAATAAAACAAGGTTGGGGAGCGTCATGAATATTTAAGTCCCAAATCAGTGCCTGGGACTCAAACATGGTGTCGAATTTGGGGCGGGGGGGGGGGTTTGCTGCAAAAAGTGCACTCACGTTTGGTGCGTTGAAGCCTTGGTATACAAGTTGCAAGAATGGGTGCGTCCATGATTTATCTCCGTCCTTCTCGCGAAAGAGCCCGTTCATGATGTTGGTGATGACAAGGTTAATGATCTTCGCCTTCTGCATTGCCTCCATCCTCCCGGGGACAATAGGCAAATTGAGCAACTCGTACCATCTCAACATTTGATTGAAGCCAGCTAGAGGGTATTGGATGATCCAGCTGTCAAGATGTGCTTGATTGTAATCCGAGACGGCCCATAAAAGAGCCTGAGAATAGGCAACCCATTGTCCAGTCTCACTGAAATTTTCTCGTGATTCGCACCTCTGGAGAAGGTTTCGAAGAGTCCAGTCCAAAAGCTGTCGACGAGAGTAGATCTCTGCATCTTCACTATCTTTAGCGCACCAGTTCTTGGTCTCCAGAGTCCGTTCGATTATCGTCATGAAAAGCTGTAATACCCCGGATGCGCTGGTAGCAAGTCCAGCTGTGATAGCAAGAGTGAGCTGGTGGTTGATGTACTTCTTGTTTGGGCCTCGGTAGCAGACCGTAGGAATGGTAGCCACGATGTTCTCTTGGTAGATGGACCTTGGGCAGGGAAGAGCACACTGGAAACATATACTTTGACTGCATATCATGTTCGCGTTCCGCTTCGCTTGCCCGGCAGCCTGTCACCCCAAGAGAAGTTAGCGAAGAAGTTCTCCGTCTTCGCATGGAGGGGAATGTAGTCAGACTCACTAGGGGAAAGTTCAGAGCGAATTCTGTAGTGTTCTCTTCAACGGTATCAAGTTTCTTGAGGACCACGGACATGATCTGCTCTTCACCGCAGCAGATTGGACATATGCCGCGAAAAGCTTCGATATCATCGGCCAGATCCAGCGCTTGTAGATGAATCTCAGAGTCCTCAGCTGACGATACCTCTGAACGCATGGCCCTGTTACTTTTGCGGTTGAGGATATCGGCTGTATAAGAGGACTTCTCGAAACCTGAAATTATGGAAAGTCCTCGGTTGATGAGCCTGTTGATTTCGGTAGCAAACCGATTTTCCTCGCTCGGAGAATTCTGCAAGTCCAGATAAGTCGCCCGATTGGCGGCATGAGCACCACGAAGCTGATCCATGAGCAAAAGTCTATCCTCATGTCCCGATACTGTCTGGATTCTCTCCATTATCATTCTTGCCCCATGGCGATCCTCTAACCGTACGATGACTTGCTGTTGCTTGTGGCGAAGGAGTAGATCCCGTAGCTGCCCAAGCTGGCCGCGAGTCTTGCATATGAGTCCCAGTTGATAGATGGCTTCTTCCCCAAGTAACTTGCGTAGGTCTTGAAACCTGATTTGTTGCTGGACGAGCAATGCAGGAACATTGACTAGGGCATTGGTAGCTGCATCCCACTCAGGTCCCAGTGAAGCTGCTCTAGTGGGAGACCTTCGCCCTTCATGTTGTGTCAGATTAATGGCCAATTTCCCACAACGCTTGACAAAAGTAGCTTCGTTTGGGTATTCTGGAAGTGATTCCCAGCTTGATAGATCGAATGAACCTTGGAAACCTTCGTTCGTGAGTGGAGAAAACCCTCCTTTAGCCCCATCAAGTATAGACGCCCCGTCGAATAGTTCTTAAACAGGATCAATGCCGCTCGAGCGGCCGCGAAGAACGGTATTCCAACGGAGATATTGGTGTTGCCGGGAAATGCGTACTTTCCGCCAAAAATTAGTAGAACCGCGGGAACATGGATTACTTCCATGACGTCGGCCAACCGAGCGAGCTCTGCGACATTTTGTTCGGCTATTTCCCCGTCCGTAATCAAAACCCAGAGGTCGGAATCCCGTATGGACTCTATTGCAGCCGGTTGTCGGAGTATAGTATCTGGCGAAGTACTACCTGAGCCGGAGCAATAATTGGCAGGTACTAGTACAGTGTCTAGAATCTGTGGCATTTCACATTCATGGTCCCACTTTGTCACGTTATCGCCGCGATTTCCGTGGAAAGCTGCCACAGCTTTGGCTTGTGCTCGCATATAGCTCCCATGGTACTGCCAAACGAATCCACAGCGAAGAACTTTTTGGCATCAAAGAAGGAGGTTTGGGTGGGAGGATTCACATCGATACTGAGGGGCTCTGCCACACTCTCTTGCCAGACAGGTAGAGCCATTGTCCAGTGACAGTCGAGCACAAGGGCGTATGTCCTCGCTACTGGCTAAATACGCTGAGGTATCAATAGGGTGTATCAGTACTGTTGCTGGAAGTGAACCGGAAAAAGAGTCAAACCAAATGGCTCGAGAATCATAGAAGACGAGAACATCTGAAATGAGTGGACCTATATATACAGCATAAATTCCGAAACATGAGTCAGAGTAGTCGAAAATAGTGAGTCAATACGGCAGAAAGAAAAGGGCGGGGTTGAGTCATGAATCAGCGTCATGGTCTATGGACTAGTTATGCCTGTCTGTATCAATGTGAAAGGAATCGGATCTTGCGGAAGGAGAAAATCTACATAGACCAGACGTCTGAGATAGAGCCTAAAACACATGATTGGCATCTAAAAATCACCCACATCTTTCGTGTGAGGGAAGGGTGCTGGCTTTGCTTCGCGGTGACCTGAACCAATTGCGCTGAGTGGAACAGTCCCCTCCATCCCTCTCCTTTATTTCATTCAGACACCGCTTATTGTCATTACCTTATAGACAAGAAAGCTGCATACTAAGGCGATCGACCTTAGGGTTTCCCGTCGTGCAAATTCGCATTTTCCCCAAAATGAAGGATACACTTCAAGAGTATACACATCGAAAACACCCCCGATCGGGGCATATACCGCCAGAGGCCTTAATCCGCAATTAGATTGAGAATAAGGTAACAATACTTGAAGCTCTATTGCCTTGGACTCCGCATACGTTTTAGTTTAGATAAGCATCGGGCGCATTGTGGGAGAGGCTTTACAACTGAAGCGCCAGGGTGCTTGCCGGTCGCTACCCTAATGAACTCATTAGCGATATGAGACTTGAATGGCGCTCACGAGGCTAAAAGAAGATCATGGGTGCTCAGTCAAAAGCCGGTTTAGTCAGGCGTCGCCTACCGGCTCCAGAAATATGAAGATTAAGACAATCAACATAGGTCTGGGACTCTGAAACGTAGGCCTCCACAACCGATCATCCCAGATCGTAAGACCTGGTCCGGTATGGGAGGTTGGCTTGGCGGGAGACGCACTCATAGAATGGATTGACTTTTCTCATCGTTGCACTTAAAGACCATGCTGGGGTAGACTCACATCAACGTTGATACAGGGCCGCGGTACATCTCAAGCAGGCGAATCCTGATTTATACGTCAGCCGTAGAAATGTACAAGCTTCGGCATTTGCGGGCAAAAATAGTAATGTGCAACAGCATCAGAGAATATGGTAAGTTTGGTGATTTTTTGTCATCAAGATCAATCAGAAGCAGAACTGATGTATTTGTTTCTCATCATTTGTAGGGTTTATGTTGGATAAAGCTTAGGCAAGTGCACTGAGCAAACACGTACCTATCACTTGATTTCTTCTTCGACCCCACTATCATAACCGAACTATGCATAGTCAGCAGAGATCATAACGAGCTGTGGCCGAGATATCAAGAAATTCAGGGATAAAGATATTCAGATGGTAGTGCATGTAGTTCAATGGCTCACGGAAGAATGGCCGGAACTTGTGTGATGGGTTTCCTCATAATGCAGGCCTCCGGCACAAATACAACGACAAGGGCAACTTACCTTGTTGGTCGGAGATCAAAGATGCGTCAAAGCTCGGTTGGCTTGAGATCAGAAAGCGGGGAGACCAGGATATGATTGATAGGCCAGATGTCTGCGTAGTGGTCAATTAACCCTTGGGGCCAATACTTGGATGTGAGCTCCCCATCCCTCGTACTTGCACGAGTTGCTGTGACGTCCGGCTTCGTCTTTTCCAAGGGTCCATACGTTAGGACTTTCAAGGTATAAAGAAGCAGTTAGGAGAACGTTTTGTGTCTTTGGTTGGGAGTGTGAAAACGAGAAGATTGTTCTAGGTGAAATTTCCACACGAGTGCGGGAACCGCCAAGCCTCGGCGAATCGAAAGCCAAGGGTACAGGACAGGGGTTCTTGACAAGCCAGATATATTGCAATTCTCTCCGTGTTCGAACACCAGCACCTCAATCATTACTTCTCCAGTGTTTGGTGACTCCTATGCTCGGCAGATACTGTGTGAGCTACACTTGTTGAATCTGCGGACCGTATGGCACAGTACCTTCGGAAAGCTCTCACTGTTGTCAAACGTGGTCAGAGCGGTTCGCTAGAAGATACGGCCACCGTGCTACGCATCTTCTGTCCTTGGTGGCTTGCGACTCAGAATTAAACATCACAATCGCTCTTTATTAATCCTCTCAAGGCCTGCTGAGATACAGCGGTACGGTCGATACGATGAACAGGCATAATGCCTATGTCAATGGGCAGAAAGGATACTCGTCTAGAGAGAGTGGTAATCTGTCGATATCCCCTCACAGGTAAGAGAGAGCTATTTTCTCGGCCACGTCCCGGCGGCGCGCATGGAATATCTGAACCTGATGCTGACATAGGCTTCTTTACTCCTAGATTTCAGCCGCGGTCCCAGCCAGCTCTACGACGAAGGAGGCAGCTTCTAATACGGTTGGGCATTGCTGGATGCTCTTCCCTGCTTCTCATGCTGATATTCTTCCCTTCAATACGATCCACTTTCTTGACGGTTCTGACTCTTGGCCTTATGTCAAGCTCCGACGTAGAGCAGCTACAGTTGGAGACTGTTCGGTACTACGACCTATCAGAATCTGGGGGTACCGCCAGGGGATGGGAGCACGAGGAAAGAGTCCTCATGTGCGCACCTCTACGAGACGCCGAATCTCATCTTCCAATGTTCTTCTCGCATCTACATAATTTCACTTATCCACATCATCTCGTCGATTTGGCATTCCTGGTGTCCGATTCGAAAGACAATACCCTACAACTCCTGTCTCAAATGCTAACCGATTTACAAAATGACCCTGATCCGAAACAACCTTTTGGAGAGATATCGGTAATAGAAAAGGATTTTGGGCAGAAAGTCAATCAGGATGTTGAGAGCCGACATGGTTTCGCAGCCCAAGCTAGCAGAAGGAAGTTGATGGCTCAGGCAAGGAATTGGCTGCTGAGTGCCGCACTCCGGCCAACCCACAGCTGGGTCTACTGGAGGGACGCAGATGTGGAGACTGCTCCATTCACGATCTTGGAAGACCTCATGCGGCACAACAAGGACGTCATCGTACCAAGTGAGTGATCGTCTTCATCTTCGCCAATGGTTCTTCGACTGATGACTATAGATGTGTGGCGGCCACTGCCTGATTGGCTCGGTGGTGAGCAGCCGTACGACTTGAATTCTTGGCAGGAGTCGGAAACAGCTCTAGCGTTGGCCGATACACTTGACGAGGATGCTGTCATTGTCGAAGGTTATGCAGAGTATGCGACCTGGAGGCCACATTTGGCATATCTAAGAGACCCATACGGCGACCCGGACATGGAGATGGAGATTGATGGTGTTGGAGGCGTTAGCATTTTGGCAAAGGCGAAGGTCTTCAGATCTGGGGTTCATTTCCCAGCCTTCAGCTTTGAGAAGCATGCAGAAACAGAAGGGTTTGGCAAGGTAGGCTCCGACTGTGTTGATCTCATGACATTGCTGACAACGAGTCTAGATGGCAAAGAGAATGCAGTTTTCAGTTGTCGGATTGCCCCACTACACTGTTTGGCATCTTTACGAACCAAGCGTCGACGATATCCGGCACATGGAAGAAATGGAACAAGAGCGGCGAAACCGTGAGAATGAGGAGAAGGAGCGAGTGGAGCGTATGAAGAAGATTAAAGAGGAGTTCAACGACCAAGGCAGCCAATGGGAGAAAGACAAGAACGCAATTGATGGTATCTCGCAGAAGGAGGAACAGATCAGGAAAGAGCATGATGCCGCCATGGCTGCTCAAGAAGAGAAGGGCCCTGCCGCACAGGCAGGTAAGGAAACCGCAGAAGGCGCTGCTTCGAAAGACTCGAAAGACTCCAAGGTTGCAAAGGATACCAAAGATGCAATTGATGCTAAGGAAGGGAAAGGTACAAAGAACGCCAAAAACGTCAAGGACACCGAGGACACAGCGAATGAAAAGGAAGTCGAGGAAGCTGAAGTGGTCAAGGATACATGAAAAGACAACTGATACCCAATCTCCCCTAGATTTCAAAGGTCGGAAGCGCATTATTCGATTTTACAGCTACACATTCCTGAGAGGAATCCGCGAACCGTTTCTGCCTTGCGGTCGTCAGGAAATCGTTAGCATCGCCAATGAACGATAGCTTCCATTTCTGGCAATAGATCAATATATCGGTAGTACGGACCTTAATATTGGACACGCCGCGGGAATGAACTGTCGGCGTAACGAACTTGATGAGATTTTCTCTACGTCTATCTAGTTTCAATTTGTGGCATAGAGGGAAGGACGTGAACGGGGCGTCCATCTGAAGGCTTTCTCTCGGTTATTTTTGGGGATCTCGCAGAGGCAAGGCGTCCGCATAGATAGAACTGTATGACAATAATAAGGTGTAGACAATTTCAAGGACAAATATACCAACTTTTACGAAGAGGACAACGAAGCAACTTGCTGTGCTCTCCGTATCATCCAAGCTGCAGGCAGAGGACTCTTTTGCGGACTCTACGACAAATGCTTGGCGCTTGTCGACCGAAAATAAAGCTCGGCATTTCATTTGATAGATACATTGCAGCGCCTTACTCATCGTGTCTCTGAGCTTTCTCATGATGCCCTTTGGAGGCGTATGACTGGAACAGAGATGTTTTTCATCGAAGGTGCTGCGGAAGCCTCTTAATCTTACCAGCAACTGGATGAGCCGCACCAACTTATAGACTAGGAAGAAGTGCTAGAGAGCAGCGTCTAGGACGCGAGCATGACCGGTGGTACGGAGAGACATGGGGGAGCCATCAGATCTTGGCATGAAGAGGCTCCCGCAAGTACTCGACCCAACACAGGCAAATCCAGTCAAACCATCAGGGCCACACCGGCTCGAAGTATGGCACAAGAGCGTTTCCCCCAGACGCACACGCCCGCTGCCGGCAACACAAAAATATCTATAGCTGTGGATCCTG